AATATATTTTGCCATTGAAAGTTCTATCAAAGAAATATGGACCCACGATCTTTCCATCAACTATACCACACCAAACATTAAGACTCCATCTACCTTGAACCTGCACCTCATGTATCCAGTGCCGATTTTTTCCAGTCCAATAATGCATATTATGCAGATTAACATTACCCTCACGATTAAACGTAGCCTCGTCTGTTAACAAAATCTTTGACATAATATTCGGTTATTCTTCTAGCAGACCTAACATTTCATTGCAGTAATCCAGCCTTGCATCAAAAGATCTCTCATGTAAAGCTTGGTGGAGAACTGCTTGATAAGGATGCTGTCTAAAAAAAGAGTACAAATATTGGTAAAAAAGAAACCACTAAATTTATTAAAACTCAATAAATCTTGAAAAATCCACAATTGTTTCACAAGATAAATCGTGCATAAGTACTTTTAAGAAACGGATAAAAGGATAAAAACGCCGTATTACCGTTTATATCGAAATATTAAAATAACAGTTGAATCTAAAGTTTAAAAGGAGTTCCACGTTTCTGACCTAAACGTTCACTTTTCAATATAAAAAAGCAACCTGTCATGTTTTAAAATCCTTAGGACAGTAGTTTCGGGTATGTTTAATTCTATAGAGATTTGCTGACTACTTATATGTGAATTCTGTTTAATTAAAGCAAGAACATTTATTTAATTATCTTTGGTCATACCTCTACTACGTCGTTTAAATAAAACACGATGAAAACTACTTGAATTTCTTTCAAATACTTCTTTGCCATAATGTCTCCTGCCAGGATATCTTACAGAATATATACGTGAGGCAATAGCGGCATTTTGGTGACAGTCGAAATAAACTCCAATCATATCATACAATTCTGCATTTGATATACTAATCACGAATTACTAGTAATGATAATTAATTACTAATATTACCAATATTAATATCTATTGAAAACAGGGCAAAGTTTCCGAGAACTTAGTCATTTCCATTCATCTGACCGCGGAAATCTATCTGAACATTATATATATATATATATATATATATATATATATTATATATATATATATATATATATTATATATATATATATATATATATATATATATATATATATATATATATATATATTATTGTGATATTTAAAGTCTTGGTGCGCCACACTTTGTAATTCTCTTATCTCAGGGTTAAATTCGTGCTTTAATATCTATGCTGTTACATGTGAAAGGTAAGGTCCAAAGAATACCGGAATAAAAAAAAACACATACGATATAACACTATATATTGAAATAAATATAATGAAATAATTCACACTCAAATGTTTTCAATAAACAAAATCTCATATAATGATTCTCAAAATTTTGTTCTACGTACGTGAACCTTCAAAATTAATGGTACAAACAATATTAATTGAAATCTCAAAATCCCAAATTATTCTAACTCTCCTAATCAAAATATTTATATCCTTTCTAAATTAAGTGTAAAAATTGTGTTATCAATAAAAGAAAAAACTGCAGAAAACAAAAATATCTCTCTCTGATGATGAGTGGTCCAAATCCTTGTTCCTTGTAGACTATATTATCTACTCTCAGGCGCTCCCTAGGTAATCAGCAATCTTACAACAAATTATTGCAAGTTTATCGTCCTTAATGATCTCCTTCAAATGCACGAATCGTTCAAATTATGCTAGCTTCTTCTTCTCTCAATAAACTGAATCTCTCGTTGGCCTGAGTGAAAAATGACTCTTGGAATATCTTTTCTTTACGATAAACTGAATCTCTCGTTGGCCTGAACAGTGACTCTTGGAATATAAGTAGAAAAATATGACTTACAATCTTTTACTGGATCAGCTTCTGTCAGATACACTAACTACACGAAAACTCACAAACTTTCACTGCTACTGCTTCCTACCTCTGGGAAACTACCCGAGAAACAACGGCCGTTCGCCTTGCACCCTTGGAAACCAACTGACTATCTTTTCTCTCTCAAAAATCTAGCTAAACTTTCATTCCTACATACCTATCCCACCTTTTTTAATCTCCGCCAATCAAAGCTCGTCACAATTCTCCCATTTTTTCATTTCGATAACAAACAAATTTTTACCTATAATTATAAAATTTCCTAAAACTTATTTACAAATAATATTTTTCTACAATTCTTAAAAACTAACAAAAACCTCTTTCTAAAATCTATTCTATTGTCCTTAATCACTGCATTAATGTATTTGGAAAACCCGGTTCAATTGTCTTTGGATTTCACTTAAAATTATGCGGGTCACTCAAGTATATTATAACAAAGAAAATAATTTATGCATAGCTTACATTTTGTTTAATACAGGTAATCCAAAAATTTAAAGACTTTCCTTCTTCGAAATGTTTGTTGGTTATTATCCTACTTATCTAAATTATTTTAATGTTTTTGAACTTTGAAATATTTTAAACAAACCAATATTTTTCTCGATTTTACATATCATAACAATATATATATATATATATATATATATATATATATATATGTATATATATATATATATTTATGTATATATATATATATATATATATATATATATATATATATATATATATATATATATATATATATATGTGTGTGTGTGTGTGTGTATGCCTGAGATCTAATGAAATAGAGAAAGCTGCTAATTTCTTCATCAACGGCATATTCAAATTACCCATAAGTGATTGGTGAAATTGTGAAATTACTAGACACATCATAATATAACGCTGATTTCAAAGACACAACATCAGCGTGTGTTCGTAGGGGGTAGAAGCACACAAGCGGTGCTTTGCCGTACTAACGCCTGAAGTGATATTTAATCTCGCATGTATCAAAATAATCTAAAATTATCACTGTAGGTATCCATTAGCTTAATTAAATTTCATGCTCACAGGATCCAGATAATGAACAGAAAGTGAAATTAATGTCATGTACAGGAGTTTTGCCCGGCTAAGGGATATCCACCGTACACAATTAAAAATCTAAATCCTAGTCATTCACTTAGCAATTAACAGAATATCTAAAAGACGTATTCATGATTAATTAACACGCCTTATCTTGTATACAAGGCACATTAAATATTTTTTTATATTTAAACAGTAAAATATCTTACCTGTTAATTATTTAAATGTTTCACAAACGTTAGGAATCTATAAAATAAAATAAAAATTATAAAATATAAAAAAAATACGAAATAAGATCCACTGTTTGGTCAATAAAAATGAACCTTTTTGTGAAATGGATAGAAGATAGCGTTCTTTATATACAATATCATTAAAAACCGGAAACACATACTGTGTAACAAAGCAGATATCATACAGCACGTAAAAGTAATAAATATGGCGTCAGTAAGTAGAAATCACCGAATGGTTAAAGCCAAATTAGAGATAAAACATAATAAAAATAGAAATACATTTAGAAAAACTTGGAATATAGAAACAGATAAACTAAAATCTAATATAGAACAATATAAAAGCAAGTTAAATTCCGCGAAAGTATTAAATCTAGATAAAATTAGCTTAAATGAAATCAATGAAGCCATAACAAAAGAACTATTAAATGCAAGCTCAGAAGTGGCAACCGCTAACAGAAAACGAAAATCCAAAATAACTGTAGAATCACAAAACATGCTGAAACAAAGAAAAGATCTTCTGAGACAAAACAAAAGAGACACTGCAGAATTTAAGGAACTTAATCGAGTAATAAGAAAACAGATAAAAGATAACATTAAAAAACATCAAGAAGACCGTATAGAACAAATCATAGAGAAAAACCGAAGTCTCAAATGCACCAAACCGAAACTAGGAAAGAAAAACATAATAACCATTAAACAAGAACAAGGACAACTAGAAAAAAGTAAATCTAATATTACAAACTCAATTGAAAAGTTCTACGCCGATCTGTACCTTTCCAGAAACGATCCCCCTAACTCCTCAAAGCAGAATTTGAAAAGGCAGATAACAAATGTCAACTCAGAAGTGATGCCCGAAATAAGCCACGAAAAAATAGAAAGAGCAGTAAAAGAAATAAAAAGGAATAAAGCTCCTGGAAGCGATGGAATTCTAGCAGAAATGTTGAAGGAAGGCGGAGAAGAAGCCATCACATATCTAAAAATATTATTTAATAAATGTCTATTTCAAGGTAACATACCCAAATAGTGGAATACTGCTAAAACAATACTAATACACAAAAAGGGAGACACCACAGACCTGAAAAATTATCGACCAATTGGACTTCTTTCATAACTTTACAAAACCTTTACAAAGATTATTACAAACAGGTTAAGATTAAATTTGACGGATATCAACCAGCAGAACAAGCCAGATTTAGATAAGGGTGCAGCACCTGTGACCATCTATACACTTTAAAATATCCTAATGGAAAGGACTAACGAATACAGTCTCCCATTATGTCTGGCTTTTATATATTATGAAAAAGCTTTTGATAGCGTAGAACTGTGGGCAATAAAAGAAGCATTAGTTAACAACCGGATTAACTTCAGCTTCTTCTTCTTCTCGTGCCACTCCTAGCGGAGATTGGAAATCATCATGGCCACTGCGACTTTGTTAGCAGCGCGCCTGAAAAGTTCAATCGAACTACACCCGAACCATTCACGTAGATTACGAAGCCACGATATTTTTCTTCTTCCCACACTTCTTTTGCCCTTAATTTTGCCATGCATGAACTTCAGCTACAGAATACTAATACGTAATATTTACGAACAAGTTGAAATGCTAGTGACATTGGGTAATTGAATCGAAACAAGACCAGCAAAAATTAACCGAGGAGTAAGATAAATATCTCTAAAATTATTTATAGCTGCCCTAGAAGATATCTTTAAGACAATAGACTGGAAAAATAAACGAATCCCTATTAACGGAAGATACTTTAACCATCTTAGATACGCAGATGATGTAGTACTAATAGCCGACACGTAAAATACACTGAATACGATGATTGAGGAGCTACACACAGAATCCCTAAAAAAAGACTAAAAATAAATTTTAGCAAAACTAAACTAATATCAAACAAAGATGATAAACATCGAAGGAAGAGAGATGAAACACGTAGATGAATATACATATCTGGGTCAAAATGTTAAGGTATGCAAAGAAAATCAGACTACCGAAATAAGCAGATGTGTAAAAATTGGATGGGCAGCATTTGGAAGACTCTTATACGCACTTAAAATAAAAATATACATCAAATACTGCAAACCAAATTGTTTAATTCCTGTATACTACCTTTGTACTACCTGTGAAGAACAATTAGACAATACACAGTTTGGATTTAGAAGTGGAATGGGAACAAGACAGGCACTGTGCGCAATGACGGTACTATTACAAAAATGCAGGGAATATAATAAAAACGTATTCATTTGTTATATAGATTTCCAAAAAGCTTTTGATAGAGTCCAACATGGTAAACTCATACATGCATTGAATCACATACACCTAGATCCCAAGGATATTAATTTAATCAAAAATCTGTACTACAATCAAACAGCGGTCGTACGGCTGGAAGATAGTGAGACAAACCAGGTGGAAATTTAAAGAGGAGTCAGACAGGGATGTGTGCTGTCGCCACAATTATTTAATGTGTACTCTCAACTAATATTTCAGGAGGCACTATGGGAAAGAACTGAAGGTGTAAGGATTGGAGGGAGCATCATTAATAACATAAGATTTGCAGACGATACCCTAATCATGGCAGAAAATATAGACGATTTTCAAACTCTCCTGGAAATCATTAACAGAGAAAGCAAAAAGATGGGACTAACAATGAATATAAATAAAACCAAATACATGGTGATCTCAAAAAACCCTGTTGACAACATACAACTGACATTGAAGGGTAAACCCCTAGAGAGAGTCGACAAATAGAAATACCTCGGAGCAATTATAAACTCACAGTTAGATCAAGAACAGGAGATAAAGGTCAGAATAGAAATAGCTCGAAAAGGCTTTATAAAATACAAGTCAATGTTTACAAATAAGAAATTGAATATGGCCATCAGATTGAGGTTCGTCGAATATTATGTTTGGTCGCAACTACTATATGGGGTAGAAGCTTGGACTCTAAAAGCCCAATCTATAAAAAAATTGGAGGAATTCGAAATGTGGCTATATAGGCGTATTTTGAAGATTCCTTGGACTGCAAAAGTCTCAAATGAGGAAGTGTTAAGACGAGTTGGACATGGCAGAAAGCTTATGAACACAATTAAAATAAGAAAAACATCGTATCTGGGCCACATACTCCGAAACGATAAATACTCTCTGCTACAAGTCATCATGCAAGGTAGAGTAGAGGGAAGAAAAGGCTTGGAAAGAAAGAAGAAATCTTGGCTAAGGAATATCAGAGATTGGACTAACCTCAGTGTTGAACAGATATTTCACGTTGCAAAAGATCGAGAAGCGTTTAAAGAAGTGATCGCCAACCTTCGTTAGAAGACGGCACAAGAAGAAGAAGAATACTACTTGTGCTTACGTATGGAGCTCAAACCTGGATATTCACTAAAATAAACATGGAGAAGATCAGAAAAACTCAGAGAGCTATGGAACGACAGATGTTAGGTATCTCACTTAAATACCATAAAACCAATAAAGGCGTTCGTAATAGAACAATAGTAAAAGATACTGTCGAACACGTAGCTAAACTGAAATGGAAATGGGTTGGACATAACGAACGTCCTACGGATGGCCGATGGAATAAAGAATTTGGGAATTGGCGGCCATATAAAGACAAAATACCACGAGGAAGACGACAAATTTAATGTAGAGACGATATTAAAAGAACTTCAGGGCCAATGTAGAAACGTCTTACAAATAACAAAGATGAATGGCGAGATTTAGGAGAGGCCTATATTCAACAATCTGAATAGAGAAAAGGGCTGAAAAAAAATAGAAACCGAAAAATAAACTTGAATTTTTTCTACCTCACGCACTTTATTTCCTAGGCATAATTGTACATTTTAGGGGTATATATAAAAATTTACGTATTTTACGTAAAATAGTGTAATGGATATTCTACGATGATACTTAAATTTACGTTGATAATACTTTTCCATAGCTACAACATCTTAGGATAATTTTTCTCCACGTTCATTACTTATAGCATCCAAAGTTTCTGGAAAGAAATTGAGATGAGCATCCACGAGAAGAATTTCTACAGAAATGTTACTTTACATATCTCTGTTTGTACTCAGTGAAAATATCTCTGTAATACTGATCTTTAGCATTGCTAAGAAAAATTGGGCTTAACTGTTTTAAAAGCAGCTCTTGATGTTCTTACTTCAACTTTATTCAGCAAATTATCAAATTTTCCAGCTCTCATTAATTCTCGTATTTGTTGTTCGACAAAAGTAACCTCTGTAGTTGGTGCCTCACCAACTCTTAGAAATTTTATACTTTAACAACATCTCTCATTAAGCCCAATTGTATGTGTACTGATGGATGAAGTTGGTTTTAAGGGTCAACCAATGGTTCTTTGATACCATCTTTTAAAACCCGATACAGTTCTTTGAAACCTCAATACTCTGGGAGTATTGGATTTTAGGAAGTGTAAGACTTCCAAATTCCAGAAGAACTGGAAGAGAGGTGATGAAAATACTAAAAATATGGCTAAGCTCAGAGGAACAAAGTTAAATAGCCAAAGAGACGCTTTATCTCAAGTGAGTGTTCGGGCTAGCTTCAATGCACTGGATTGTGGCTTTAAAGATATAAACAGATAGCAAGGATACTGAGCTAATGAGACAAGAAACGAAATGAGACCTGGTAGTATCAAATGTCATACAACTAAAGAAGGTCACTGGGAATAAATTTCTAAAAAGAGAACAATAAGAAGAGAAAAGAAGGGCGCCAACTCAACGATAGTTGAGATTTTGAAGTAACAAATGATTGGAAACAAATGATTCTGGAGATAATAACCTGAAATACAAAATACTAAATACTAATCTTGTTTTGCTATATTATATGCTGGTTAGTAGAACTGAAATAAAACTCAGAATAGTAACAATAAATATATTTATACAAATGTGTAAATCGATATATATGTATTAACAATTTACATATAATGCAAAACTAAATAATAGTGGTAGTGGGTAGTGTAAAGATACAATAGGACCTAATAGCCCCTCATCAAGCGAATAATCACTACCACTGGCCAAATAAAGTATAAAATATCAGTAAAAATTCAAGAATAGTCCGTATCATAGCCAAAGTCTTAACATAAAAGGTAGTAATTTAAATTTAGCTAGTTCAACTAAAATAAGATACAAATTACAATATTGTAAAGATATCAAACTTGATAAATCTATTACAATTATATTATATTACATCCAAAAAAGTGAGTCTTCAATACTCTTTATATAATGTTTAAAAAAAACCACATGAAATTTATTTCCCTTCCCCAAAATCCAAAATTGTATTATATCAAAAATGTATTGTATTAAAAAAATATATATTAAATCAACAAGGGAGTTTGGTCAGACTCTGTAATCCCATTATAAAACCTAATAAAAACATGTAATGTATTTTCCCTCTCCCAATAATATCAAAATTATATTTTATCAAAATGTAGTCACTTGATCATATGCATATGAAAAGTTAACAAAATAGATAGTAACAAAAAAAATTACACAGTCAAACAACTTATCTTTACAGCCCCATAAGTCCATAGGAAAATTCCTCTTGGCACGGTTACATCAGTTTGTGGCTGTAAGGACAAACCCAGGGGAGTCTAATTTAGTCAAACCAGGCACTGGTCTATCTGCTCCGAGAAATCGGTAACTCCATAACCAAGTTGTTAACTATTCAATAAATTCTGTAACTATTCCTTGAGGGAATATTCTTAAGAGAATACTCTCAAGTGAAGTGACGGAATCTAAAAGAGTTATGTAATTTAATTAATGTAATTTAATAGGTGTAGCAGCGTGGATTGACTACACCAAAACAAAACATCAGGTATTAGGTTAGGTCAACATCATGTCAAATTTATGAAGTTACTTTCGTAGGCATGGCAAGCTTGCGCCATGAAATGAACATGCGCAGAATACAGAAGGCTGTACCACATTTGTAGAACCTTTTATATTCCACCAAAAAAGTTAGAGAAAAAAGGGAACCAAAAAAAACTGAATGATAACGACATGGACTAAAACAGAATTTAAGTTTAACTATACGTATAAAAAAATGACCTGTTCTTTGCAAGTAAATCAAGGAAATTTTATATTTAAATTATTTCGGAACTCAAAAATAAATCTCTAAAGAAATACTAAACTGCAATGATAAATTTTATTGTATGATAAAGAGATAATACGTATAAAATGATTTACTTACATGGAGCCGCAGCACGCCAAAAAAATATCTTCCTTTTATGTGGAACTCTTATAAATATTGATTTTAAAGATTAATTATTATTATTAAAATTTCTATCTGAATCTTCAGTTCTGTGAGCCAATATGGGTTTCTTTACACCAGGTAGGTGGCTAGCCTTGCCATGGGGACCCTCCTCCTTTATCCGGGCTTGGGACCGGCAGTGTCATCCGATGAGCTACTCAATTTACCCATCAGACAACCCAGGCGGAGTTCAAGACCCCCCGGAAGACCACCTAAAAGATGGAGGGATAGTTGGCAATCTACCTCCCAAGAAATTAACCAGAGGCAGCTTCAGAATTAAACAGATCGAAAGATCTACAAAAAGTAGAAGAAGAAGAAGAAAATTTCTATCTTATTTATGAATTAATTTATTCTTCCCCAAATTATTTTCCTTGTTCCAATTCCGTCACTTTGAAGGTGAAAAAATTTCACCGGTTGGCGTGTCTGCGTTAACGAGTTCTGACCAAAACTGATCGTTCTCGTACAGACTCGACCAATCTACCTTTTTAAGCGACTACTGCGCGTGTGGGGAAAAATGTCCATTTAAAAATCGATCGCTGGCGGAACACAAAAATTTTCGTGAGGGGTTAATCAGTAGCGTAAACGCTACATCTTGACGTAGTGACCATTTCTTCTGTATATAGTGACGATCTCATATATAACTGTCGTACTTACATAGGAAACAGCTGTATTTGGTCTACCCGAGCTGCAGTCAACGAATTCTTTGGTACTTTTGGGATAAAAGGAGGTGGTTTTTTAATAGCTGATGATAAATTAGATTACTAACCAAATCTGTCCTAAATCTTGGTGAGACAAAAGCAACAAAGTCTGTCAGTTGGCTTCATATCATTGGTTGAAGTCATTTGAAAAAATCAAGCGATATTTTGTACCTTTTAAAACATAGTTATGAAATAATTTATGATGGAATATGCTGTAGCCTATGTAACAAATTTTAATGTCAACACACTATATACTGGTAACTTAATCTTTATTTTAAAACTTTCTTTGTATTATTTGTCGATTTTACTCATCACTTGATCCTTTGTGGGTTCAGCCGTATATATTTGATGTATTCTCTTATAAGATTACACTTCAAAGGAACTAGCTCTCATAATTTTTCTTACAACAACAAAGACATACCAACAAAAATCTATTATCTATGTTTTTGTTTTAAAGTAATTCTGTCACACTGGTATACTAAATTTATATTAAAATATTAAACAAATCATTCTATATTCGGTTATTAAAATACAAATGTAACAATATTTTCTACGTACAATTTTTACAGCGTATATTTGTTAATAACATATACACATTTTGCTGTTTTCCCCAGATGTATTTTATTTTCAAATGGGATTATATGCCTGACCCTTTCTTAATACGTGGATATTTAGATATTGTTATAAAAGCTAATGATATTTCCTCACACAATGTAAAATTAAATATGGAAAATTATACCAATCGTAAGGGTGAGAAGAAGCTATGAAATCGGTAGTGACCACTACTTACTGGATACGTTATTTAACAGCAGAAGAATAGTAAATAAAGAACAGATAGAAACATAACACAAAGTAGGAGACGTACAATTCGGATTCACAAAAGAACATACCACACGAGGCCATGTTTTCACCATGCAACAGATAATAGAGAAAGCCATAACGAAAACTAAATAGCAAAAAACATTTGATTCAATCAAAAGGCAAACTATATGGAAATGACTAAAAAAATAACGACAACTTGTAAAGCCAACAGTGAATATTTGACTTTAACTTAAATCGAATCCAAAAGGACTCTATTTCGTTTAGACTAAAATTAAATTTTAATTCTAATAATATAATAAGTTAAAGGTTAAATCCGGTAACATACTTAAAAAAAGGAAATTATGTGGCTTTTGTTTAAGTCAACCATATAACGCAATTTTCAGAAGGTTAAAAATAGTCTACAAGGAAGATAAATGCAGGACTAACAGAATAAGCAGTTGATGTCTTACAAGCTTTTTAAGATTCCCTTTTTACGGTTGGGATTCCCTTTCTAGGTTCTTTAGAGGGTTATAAGATTCCCTTAAAAAAGGACTAAAATATGTAGGGATAAATATTGATACTCGCTGGGTATTTTAAAGACGCCTTGACACTGTAACAAAAAAGGCAGGGAAAAAAATAGCAAACCTGACAAGATTAACGTCAAATACAACTGGTGCGACTAAAAAAAGGCAGCACTTTGTAGTGTAACTCCACTCCACTATATTTTTCGGAGGTCCGGTGTGGATATCGACAGTTAAGGAGAAAAATATAGGCAGATACTTAAGATT